AGATGTTAATAGGGTGGTTTAGCTATGTACAGAAACTTTTCCAAATGAGGATACTAGATATTTACTTCTATTGAAACCTTACTTTCCTGGCTTCCTGTTGATACAGTCTTACTGGAGTTTACAGAACATCTGTTCCTTCTGCACTTATTATGATTATTGTGCAACGTTCTTAGGAGGACATTACAGGTTACCCTTCTCAGGGTGGCCCTTGCAAAATGGCAAGGTCGTCTGCAAATACAAAATATACGTCCCTTTTTACAAGGATATCAAGAAAATCATTGATCATGGGTAACTACAGAAGAGGGGTTAGTACTTTGCCTAGAGGATAAACCCTGGTGACCTTGAACCAAATGATCCTGGTATGTGAACTTGAAGAGTCATAGCAGCTGTTTGGTTTATGATAATGGCAAAGAATCAGCCGATTATGGTCGTTTCTATGGCTTTTTCAGCCAGAGCCGATCCAATAGATTCAGTCAGAAGCTCCTTCGATATCAAGAAACGTTACCACTACAAAGAGAACGCTAAGGACGATACTACGGAAGTTCCAACTTTAAAACTAGAAATATCGACTTTAAACTCGAAATTTCGAGAGTAAAGCCGAAATTTTGAGTTTTGAAGGAAGAATTTCCGACAAACAAATGATAAGAATATGTGGCCCTTCTTTAGAGTACATTTTTCCTATAAATCTTATGACTTTGAAATACTGTAAACCATTTGTTTCAGTTTCAATTTTCCGGTGAATACTCGTATACGGCGCAAATTCATAATTATTATTTTTTATACGAGAATAACTACTTTCCCACGTATTTCCCCCAAATAGGTACGTCCAAAGTGACTGAGCACCTCCACTACAACCCGCAAGGATTTATTATGGCTCATACCTATTTGAACTCTGTCAAGCAAATCTAGATTTGAACGATGCCGATTAGTTTATTTAGTATCTGATCTAACAAACCAAATGACAAGAGTGAAACTCATCCAAACTCCGAAAACCTAATTCGTTTCCCAGAGAGGACAAACACAATGGATGTGCTGCTGTTTTATCTCCTTTAAAACAAAGACAGTCCAAGTCTCTACATATACCCAATAACAGAAAAATCCAATCTCAATCTGAAACAAGACACAAAATGTATTCGCCATTATCGGTTCCTATCGAGAGTTTTCGAGGTGGTCCTACCCTGGACCGTCAATCCTGCTACCGCATGGATTCGGGCACGAAACCGTGTGTTTTGTGTGTCGTTTGCGAAGTGTATCGAGGGGGCGGTGGGATGGAGGCGGTAAGAGCGCTGAGCAGTCACGACACGCTCGCCAGAGTTACATCGGAGCGATATACACGGACCGACAGAGCGATAAGTGGTCCCGTATCACGTACATGCCTTGTTGAGCGCCCCGACGCCACCGCCGACAGTGCCGGATTACAAAGGTTTCGCGTGAAACGGGTAGGGGAGCGGTGACGAGGGTTACGCGGGGTAGCAACCGGAAAACAAAAAGAAAACCGCCGAAAACAGCGTTTTTCCGTTTGAATATTCAAAACTTCTGATTTTTATCGTTCGTCGGTGGACGTGATCGTGAGTCTCCACGGCAGTCTACAAATTAACATAATTGAAAAAATCATTATATGGTAAAGTAAAACAGGGTGACATTAAGGTACCTAAAAGATTCCAAATCGAACCGCCAATTTTTAGAAATGATTGTCAGAGAAACGAGAAGTCGAGAAAGATATATTATTCAACGAGAAAGTAATTGGCATTTTTCGCGAATAAAATACTATACTTTCTCTGTCACTTACAACAGAAATATTTAAAAATAACAATCATCTCTGAAGGATATCCCGGATGAGAGAAATTCATTTGAATTTCATAACAAAAACGAACCTAAGAAAGCATTAATCATATTCAAATTTTTTTAATTCTATTTGAAATAGTTTGAATAACGAGTGGTAAAAAAATAAAAATACTATCATTAATGAGATTTGAACCCATTGACACTCAAGTCCAGCGTCAAAACAACATTAAATCATTAAATTTTCTAATAACTCTCATTTTACTATCAAATGACGAAATATAAATAATGGTTTTTGCCACATTGGGATACACTCGTTTTATTTCCCAAGTCCATGTTTTTCGTCCTATTAGAACTATATATTTCAGAAAGAAAACTTGGGATTGGAAATAATAATTGAGACACAACTGTAAAGTTATGAATTTGCTCATCTGTGATTGCCTAGAAGGTTGTGAGTTTTGACTCTGGTCAGCTGTGATTGGTTTGGAGGTGAGACTAATGGATCATTTACCCAACTAAAAGCGGTCACATAATCAACGCTTTTTTCAATAGTCATATCAAAAATGTGTTTACGTAATGCAACATATAATGTGAATTCAGCATGACGATGAGAATTACGATCTATTCCAGAAATTAAACTTCAACTGTTCAAATTAAGACGAACACCAAAATGTAGAAAATTAATGTAAGTGAATGAAGAATAAAGAATTTTTCAATTCGAAACAAGCATCTTAACCTCAAAAAAGTTTCGTGGAATTTTGCAATAACCTCATGTATTTACTTCAAAGACAAACTATCAATAGGTAATATTCTATAGTCATAGATCAGTCGGTAACTAAATATCAATATCTTAAATAAATACAAATATTGAGTGAGTACAGCAACTTTTGATCAACTACGTTTGGTCAGTATTTTCCGAATCAAAAATACATCTTCCAAACAACCAATGCATGGACGGTACTTGCTCGATGATGTCGCGATTTGATAAAAACCTTTAAGGGTTTTGATTTTTAATAAAATTTGGAACATTAACAGAATATCTATTCATTTTAGACATTACTTTAGACATTACATATGGGTGTCCATTTCAACCCCCAATAAACTTATCGAAGCAGAAATCGACATTGTCTGAACTGACATTATTATATCCGGTTCGGACACTTGGTATATTCTTGAAGAAAACCTATTCCTGGGTTTTTGTGGCATTGAATTGAACCTGGTTACTTTCACCCCAATTCGAAATCACGTCCAGATCCTCATTAAGATGTGCAGATGTGTATCCGCAGCTGATGTCCTGGAATCCAAATGGAATGACGAGACTAGTGTGCTGTCGTCAGCAGAACAATATATTGAATTCTTGGTTTTTTCCAATAAGTCGTTGATATACAATAAGAAGAGGGTTGGAGAGAATATGTATCCCTGGGGAATACCAGCGTTGATGGTGAAAGTATTTGAGAGATATCTATCGACGGCCACTTGCAGGAAACGTTCTTCCAGGAAGCTGAAGAGCCATACATAAAAATGATCTGACAAGCCATAGCATCGAAGTTTGGCCAGCAAACCCTCATGTCACACACGGTCAAAGGTCTTAGAAATATCAAGTGCAACAGCTATTGATTCTCCATGTTTCTCGATTGCGTTATTCCAAATATGGGTAACATACGAGAGAAGATCGCCTGTTGATCTTTGTTTCCTAAAGCCATATTGATGACAGCTCAAGGTATTGAAGCCTTCCAAATATTTGAGGATTTGGTGTTATTTCAAAGCCCTTGAAATCGCCTTACTATAGTTCTTGAATTTTAAAATACCTACTACCTTCCTAATAGGTTTATAAAAAATAATAGTTGAAAATGGAATTTGTTTAGGTAGTCAATTGGTTGATCAAATGTTTGAGCTGTTAACTGAATGTGCCTATATAATAATAAAGATTTTGAACAAAACGTTCTCGCACATTAAGTACAAAATATTTCCGGAGTCATACGATGGCACTCATCAACAATTTTCCTAAGCAAATCTTCAAATACACTGACCGTGTTTTCACTTTTCATTTTTCGTGATTTCACTTTTTAAGTAATCATGCGAAAAGGAATCCAGTGCTGAAAAATCTTGTGGCCATGGAGGACAGTTCTATTAATTCAGATCAACACTTTCCAAGGCTTTGGATTAGAATAAGACGAAGCAATGAATAGTCTCCACTTTCATCATGTTTGCCGCCCGTTGATTTTGTGCCGAAATACTTGAAAAGTAACATTTGCATACAAAACTAGTCGACGAATAATAAAACAACTACTTACTCGGTCACATTTCACTTGAAAATTCAGGGTTTTAACTAAGATGGAAGTGGCGGAGACCCTTCAATGAAAAACCGACCAGTCGTAGTTTTCTCTCTTTCATTTTCGTTTCTCCACTTTCTATATAACTTTAGCTCACTATAAGTGAATTGTAGAGGATATTTTCAAACCGTCCACTATGTAGGAATGCCGGGATATACTGGATTGATATTTTAAACCTAAATGATAATACCAAGAGATATGTACTCGACAGGAATTTAAGTACTTATATTGTTAGACAATTCGAAAACGAAGGAGTAGATACGGATTCAGTACGTATTGTTACAATTGGTACATATAATTTGGATTTTGAATGACATTAAAAAAAAGTATTACGAAAATTCCATAGATATTTCAATTTTTTTCAAAACAAATACGACAGCTAAAACATTACACTACAAATCCTAATGACTCTTCTCATAATTTGAACATTTATATATTATACTTTGAATGAAAATTTATTGTTGCCTTTTTTTCATTCCAAACGAGTTACGTTGAGAGAATTGGGAGAAATCAGTTCAATTCTTGATAATAATTATAGTATTCCCGAAATATTTGAAATAAAAAAAACAAAATACCTTTTTGCCACATGACGCTATATTAATTCGTTTTATTACTTGAGCTTGAAAAAGTCTAATTACCTGAAGCACTCAAAATAAGTACCATCTCCCTAATTGTATATTTTTATATCTACTGTATTCATACGTTTAGAGAGTTAGTATTATTTGATTTTCATGAATATTAAATTTTATGCTCCAATGAAAGGTGTCTATGTTTTGAAATACTGTATTGGTGCACTTGCCTTTAATTTTTAAAAAGCTTTGCCTTCGTTTACCAAAATATCAATTGGTTATATCTCTTAAAATACTCGAAACAATCAAAACTCACCTTGAATGGGGCATTGGGCACATAGAGCGGCGGGTCCTTGGCGCTGCCGAATAATTTATCATTCAAAGGAGGGATTCCCTCGTCGGAGTCACAAACACTGTACCGCCCGACGATCCCGTCCGCCGGTTTGGGGTCGTACCCCGCGGGCTGCCCCACACAAAACCCCTTCGCCTTCACCCAAAACCGAAACTTGCTGTTATCTGCGCTGACGATCTCCTCCCCTCGAAGGGTGCGCAAAATTCTCGCGTATTTTTTCAAAGTGATCGTCTTTGTTTTCGCCAGGTCGCCGTAGGTTTGGATCACCCACGGCTGGTATGTGGCCAGCATGTCGTCTTTGTTGTCGGCTCCGGATCTCTGCGGTTTTTCGTTGTTGTTTTGCTCGGATTTCGGTGGTTTGGCGGCCGGCTTCTTTTTCGTTGCCTTCTTGGGAGGTTTCGGAATCGATTTGTGGTGTTCCTCCATGTCCTGACTCGCTAATTTCGACGCCATGTTGAATCAGTTTCTCATTTCAAGGAAACGAGTTCAATGTGACACGGTTTTTTTTCAGATTCACTCACGCACAGGTTGACCGAGTTCGTGCAATTTTTTCCTCGCCAATTAGCAGAGAACTGTCCACAAGTCACCTGCAAAAAATAATTGTTTGAGTTTTTGGGTTATTATGCGGAAAATTACTGTTGGCGTTCCGAAGCTCGTATAATTTCAGTGGTAATCACCACTTTTAAAAATAATTAGAAGTGGTCTGCTCATACCTATTGAATCGTTATTAGGTAATGTCCGTTTAAAAACTACTTATATTCAACTTTAACAGTATATTTGCTCGTCCACTTTCAATAAAATATCATATTTCGTTGAAAGGCCCTCAAGTGCTACTTTTTGTGATTCCAGGAATCGAATAATTGAACGTTTCCGTCTATGAATATTGCAGTCGGATAGTTTTTTTTGCCAGACTTTCATTTTTTCATCAAAATCAACCCGTAAATAATCCGAGAAAATCTAACCAGGGCGTTTTCGATCAAAAGGCAATGTGAAAATGAGTACCCTTTTCCTACACGTGCGTTTCGCTAACCAAGTAGGCATCATCAGGAGATGACTGAGACGTAGTAGAGAGTTTAATATGTCAATTTTACTCCCGAAGTTCCAAGTTCTACTGATCAAAATGAAATGATACCCAAAAAATATTTCCAAAAATCAGTTCTTATTGAAGCTTACTAGGCTAATGTACTGAAATTACAAGAAAACAAAACAAAGACACCATTCCAAACTCATTGCCAGATTCCACAAATATTATTCAGTTTTACATGAAGAAACGGGATTCTGAGGTCTCACAGATTCTCTGAATCTTTCGTAGTTTCTAACACTACAAATTCTTCATGAAACAGTTCTGAGAGGTATCATGTAAGTGAGAAAGACTACCGTATTTCATTGTTCAACTATACAGTAGTCGTTCCACAATGATTTTTAATAAATATTAAACTGAAGAAAGGTTGGTTGGATGGCAGATTCAATTTTTTCTCAAAAAAACAAATGTTCTCTTACCGACGTTTCGAATTTAATTAAATTCTTCTTCAGGGCTCTCTAACAATGAACAGAGTCCTGAAGAATAATTGAATTGAATTCGAAACGTCGGCAAGAAAACAATGAATAGTTCAGTGATGTAATATCGATTTACTTACAAACAGATACAAATTCGCCATTCAATTTTAAAAAGTTTCCAATGGACGGTCAATTAGTCGGTATATGAGTTTAATTCATTCAGGATGCGACGGATTGTTTTGATTAAATTGGCGATGTTTGGACATACATGATGGAATGTCGTTTCATTGGAAATTAGTCAGTGATTACTGCAACTGTTTTTTTGAATTCAGGTGATACCAAAAATGTCTAAAAGTTAATTGTGTAGCAGATGATTATGAGGTGGATAGAAAAGTTGCTAATTTACTGAATTGTGTATTTAATAATTTTTCCAAAAGGTAAATTCCCCGCCCATATTCTCATCTCATCTCATTTGCCGTTTCTTTTACAGTTTTTTTTAAGTATCTCAAATACCTTTCTAACTTTATCTGTTGCGAAAATTTTGAAATGAAAAAAACGATAACCATATTTTGAATTCGATAACTGCTTGGTTTAAAACTTGAATTTTGTTGAAAGAAATCATTTTGCGTCCATTTCAATTTTGTGATTTTGCCTCAACGTCATTAGTTCCAAGTTCCTCCCTTGTACATGTCTGATGTTGAAAGTTGTCCAGAAAATGGTAAAACCTAACTTTATATGATTTTTGAAGCTTCTGATTCAAAATACTCGAGATACGAGATGAACTAAAGTTGTTTTTGGGCTCTGGTTCCATCTTATTCCTTTGCAGTGAAAGTTGCAGTAAAATACGCCTCGAGTATCTTCTGATGTTGATTCCATACGCGGCGTCTTCGTAAGGGGAGAAATCATCTTCACTTTCTCAATGTCCTTATAGGACATTGGTGGTGGTTCAGTCTAGCACCACTGATGAGACCTTGACGGGTCGAAACAGCGCTGTCTGGTATTTGCAGTTATTTCAGTAACTGTTTTGTAGGTATAACCGAATGTGTAACCTAGATCAAATGTACAAATGTGTTTTGTAATTTCGCCACCACAGCGCGGGCAACCATTTTTTAATTTCCAATTTTCTTTTTTATAAATTCAAATGACATTGTGTACTTTGAATTGTAAACCTTGTGTTGCCTTCAACATAAATTACTCAGCTCATAAGCTTCTTAGGAATTTGAAAATCTCATTTTCGTGTATAATTATGTCAAATTCACTTGTCAACGCATTAACTCCTGGGAACACACGTCACATTTTCTAATTCTAATTCACTACTACTACTTTTCTCTATTCACATTTGAATAGAATAGTTCTACAAAAATATTGTTTGAAAGCACTTTGGTGATCACAAAACTAGTATAAATAAACAACTTTGGAAAGTAGGTACCATAACAAGTATAAAAAAACGTTAGTGAGTGTGACTCTAACCAACTTTTTGCTCCCTGCGATAAAAAAATATGTGAAGGAAGCCTGCTTCATTCGACGGGAATGTCAAGAAAGTCTGTATCTGAGTATGGTAATTTCACTTATGGAGTGAAAAAACAATCCTAATAATTCGCAAGATATAGAATGTGGTGCAATACTCCATTTCAATAGCATTTTCAAGAAAGAACACCCAAAATGAAGAAAACAGTGAACATTTTTGTGTGAAAATGATTTCAAAATTCATCAACAAAACAGACGAAAGTGATATTCTTAGTCAATTCCTTATTATTTGAGGTAAATTTAGGAATACTTATCACCTAGACTTCCAGAAAAGTTTCATTACTGCGTGTATACAGCATCTTGAAAACTATAATTTTTGTCAACTCAGAAAGTCGGCCTCCAGCATGAAATATATTGAATGTTATATGATAAATTATGGTAACACAAATCAAGTAGCATTGTTGCTAGATTGTGGGTAATTGAATCAAATGGTTTTTCGATAGCTGTGTTTTTACTACAATTCCAAAACCAGACGAACAAATCGACACAATCTTTGGAAGAGTGTTGGGGAAATCGAAATCTTTAAAATCGAAAATTATTTGCCGATATGCTTCTCACAATTGTTTAAACTGTCAATATTATTTTGGTTTTTCTTTGGTTATGAACGAGGTTATATATAATTCTTGTCATTCTAGTAACGTCAGTTGTAAATCATATTATTTTGGTAGCACCATGACAAAATATATGAATGTCAACAGGGTATATTATTCCCATTTTGGTATAATAATGGAATAGAATATTAATAATAAAACAATAAGTATTCTGAGCGGTGACTGTTGTAGACGTGGACCTCCCTTATCTATTAGATATTCATTCTGATAAGGCTAAAGTATCAGTCTTCACACACTCGATGACATTTATCGCCCTTAAAAACATCTGAATAACTACTAATAATGGAAGTTTAACTGTATACATTACTGCAGACTATAAAAACTTCCATGATTTATCGAATGATATTCCAAAATAACTCAACAATTAAGTATATTTTAGTTCAAAATAAAACTCAAATTACCTGCGTCGCGTACTCACTCCAAAACTTTCAGGAAAACTCACTCACAATCCGCAGAACCAGAAGCGCGTTTCACGAGTTCGGTAAAAACAATCGCTGGAACAGCGTGAAGCGACCACGCGCGCACTATATCGTGATAGAAGCAGATAGCGTAGAATGTCGACTGAGCGCGTCCCGCGACTCGAACTGGTGCGTTTGCGAAATGATGCGGCGGGCTAGTGTGCCGGCCGGCGGGACCCTTTCCGATGCGTCCCTTCCTCCTCCGCGACCCCGCCAGCGTACGCGAGGCGGACCGGCCCGTGCGGGGATCCGGCGGAGGCGCCATCGCGATGGACAAGCGGTGTCGATTCGAGTCGGCCGAGATAGATCGGTCATTAGGCGGACGCGCGGGTCACGGTCGGGTTAACGGTGTTATGTAAACTGCTTCGTAAAAAAATTTCGCCGAGAAGCAGAAACGACAACGAAATGAGACACTCGGCTATGATGTTTTGCGCTCAGGAAAAATGCAAAAATCGTTCAAGTTGGCCTTTTGATTAAAGACATTATTAATAGGAAGAAAAGTTTGTCATGTATACTGAATGACAATTGGAGTACTTACAGAATTTAATTTGAATGTTCTCGAAAAAAATTTAAAAAGTTATTAGAAAGTTTGGAAAGGAAGTGATTTCAGACTCCTCTCGTATGTCATCAAGAAAATCGTGAAAAATAATTTAAACTTCAAGTAAAAGTGGGCGACGCGATAATTTTGAAAAATATCTAAATAGACTTACATTTGTGTCCGTTGATTACGATCCTGAAATTAAAATTTGGTACCCCGATNCTGATTATTGGAGTCCTTGGTGGAATGATGTCCTCTCTACTCTCGAATCTTAAAATCATACCGGCTTGCCGCACTAAGGCAGAAATCTTAGCCGCACAGATGCAGAAGGCTGTCATTCTTGGCTCACTGCGATTGCACAGGGCACATGATTCTCGGACCCAATGATCACTTACCCCACGGTGTGGGAAGTGGTCATTGGTTGATAATGCTGGCGCACCCTCCCGAACGTATCGGAGCTTCGGGGATAGGGCCTGACCAGCGCACCCTAAAGTAAAAAAAAATAATTTTATTAACCAGTTTCGGTACATAATGTGCATATGGTAAGTCAATAATTGTAATATACGTTATATAAATATTAAGAATGAAAATAATAGTTAGTCATAGGTACTTGAATAACAAATTAAAGAATATTGTATACTGTATATTGTGATAACTTTCATAAGTATAAGTAAAAGTTCGATGGTGAATAATTGACAACAAGCTTTCTCGTTCACCAAGAAATTACTACACACCAAGAGAAAACATTTGTTGAATCTGTTTTTTTTAAAAAAAATCTGTTTAAAATCTGTTTTTCCGTTAACCAGCTGTATCACCCCTACGAACGACAACCCTCAGAAGTCGAAACTTGTGCGAGCTTAGGATTAACGAGGTCTTACCTTTTAACGTGTGATTCCTAACACGGATGACTTAGATTGGTTCAAAAGTTCAGCCTTTCATTGAAGAATAAACATTATTGGAAGTAATAGAAAAACGAGGGAGCAAAAAATAAAAGGAAATATTCCGTTCTATCAAAATCAAGAATAGCGGTCCCGTGTCGAGAAGAGTTACTTCATCTATTTCACATGTTCTGATCGCTCCCTTACACCTTGTGAAATATCACGAGTCAGGTTTTTCCCGTGCCCTACGACCTGCGACACTGCTTGGAACTGGTCCAGCAGCACCATCCAGCGCCCGTCCGCCGTCTTCGTTTTTCTCAACGTCGCCGTCGGCGATTGTCTCATTTGTCCAGTGTGCGCTCCCTCGAGGGTCTCGACCGGCCGTCTATAACCAGTTATCGTGCGAATTCACGCTTCACGGACTGCCTTTATCGCGCAACGATCCTGATCGAGGCGATCTCGAGGGATCGTAAATTGATTCGATGAGCCGCGCCGAGAGGACCCATTCATCATATTCGTTTTCCAAATCGGTCATTTTCATCGTATGGAAGGGTGGTAGGGCCACATACTCTTATTGTTTGTTTGATAGTTATGAGTTTTAAAATGGATATTTCCACAGTAATCTCGAAATTTCTAAACATTTCTGAAAATTTCTATGAGACAATGATAAATGTAAAGAGATTTTATATTGAATATTTTTGTTTCATCATACAAAAGATTGATAGAATAGTAATTTTCTTCAAAATTATGTTCAGAATTGTGTTTTGTGTTCTTTGCAAGGTATAAATTCTGTTCATGGGTGATCTTACCCTTTTTGTAATGTAGATAATATGTTCGTTCCATCTGAGGTGTTTGTCTACAATGACTCCAACATATTCAATATACAGGGTGTAACTAAATAAATGTAAAACATTTGAGAAGGTGATTCCTCATCGAAAAAAAGATAGGATCTTTCATATAAAGAAAATTCATTGGAGCATCCCTTGTTAAGATACAGCCCCTTGAAGGGGTACATAAAATTTGTATGACAATTATTTTCACAAGCACTAAAAAATTTACAATATTGAAATTAACCTTACGTTTTATACAACCAAAAAGACAGTTAGCCAGAAATTTATTTGGTTTACCCCATGGTTGTAAGGGGTGGAAAACGCAACCCCTAAAACTTATTTCCAATGTAACTTTTTGTCTTATTATTTGTTTACCATTTAAAAATTTATTTCCGATAGCCTGTTTCATTCTAAACAAAAAATGTCTCTTNATGTTGTAACTTTTTCAGTGCTTGTGAAAAAAATTGTTATACAAATTTTATGTACCCCCTTTAAGGGGCTGTATCTCAACAAGGGATGCTCCAATGAAGTTTCTTTATTTGATAGATCCTATATTTTTTTCGATGAGGAATCACCTTCTTAAATGTTTTACACTTATTCAATTACACCCTGTAGAATCAGTTATATCCACAGATAAGCAAAGTTGTGGTGTTATTAAACATTCATAATCATGTACCTTTAGAACTCCCGTTGTTGGTTGAGCAGAGTCACTGGAAGATAATATGAAGTTACTGCGTAAACTATCAAAAAACTGCGTATTTTTTACCAAAAAAAATCTATTTATCACAAACTTGTCGTATTTAATAATTTTGCCAATTGAAAAAAGGGTTATGAAATGATACAATACTTATCATAACGTTTCGGAGGCTAATGAATTAGACAAAATCTTCGCTGATTCAATTTATTTCTCAACTTCGACAGATGTTAAATGAGTTTTCAACTGAGAAATATGTCAAAGTTGTCGATTGACTTCTGAAATATTCGATGTAGTACAAAGTGTTCTCTGATATCAGTATGTTGCTATTTCGCCAATATCCATATTTTGCATCAAGACGAGTAAGTACAATCCATTTTTAAGGTGATGTTTTTGGATTTGTCATATTCTGGAAAGGAACGAAAGAAGTAGAATGGTTGTTATATTGGTTCCAAAAATCTTACGGCGTCTCACGGCGAAACATCGATATCTACCAGTGAGCATGGCAGTGTTCCATGAAAGTGAAATTTTTATTTTCATTTAGTATATAATGTAGAAACCCTGTGAATGATATCTGATTTAATTTCATAACGAATGTTTGGAATACAAACTGAGTAGAAAAAAGTATTTTCTGTATAATTCAGTGTTCATATAAAAGTATTTGTTTGGAAATAATGTTTCTTTCGTGTAATTCAATGTTTATAGAAAGTAGCTGTTTCAGGAAGGCTTTTTCTTCCATATTTGTGTCTGAAAGTTACTTCTTTGCATGATCTACACAGGTATATACAGTTAGTTACTTCTTGTAAAATTGATTACTTCCTTACTTTCTTTGGAAGATTCCTACTTTTTTCAATATTAAGTAGGAGTAGTAGAAAGCCAGAAACTTTCTTTCCCAACCTGAATTAGTTATTCAACTTCTCCAAAACAAGCACGTTTCTCAACCACCAGAAATGAAATACTCTTCCCAACGCGCGTTTCACCAATGAAGTTGACGTCTTCAAGAGATGAAGAAAACATTATCTAATAGGAGAAATGTACTTGCAATTTCACAAGACACTTTCTACGTTACAACGAAAATTTTGGATTTCTGATTTTTTCATGGGTTTTTTTCTATTATTTTTTGTTTTCCTACATCTAAATCCAATTTCTCTCGATACTTTCTTTATTGACATGTAAGAACCTTTACAATAATTTTCGTTCTCAATTTTTTCATGTCTTCACCGCAAAGTCGATTTTTTGTCTAGGTTATATACCAGAGGTTTCCAATCTTTTTCACTTTNCAACACGATGGTGCTCCAACGCACACTACCAGACGAGTATCTAATTACCTGACTGAAAGGACAGCAAGGTCTCTAGACTTAGTGTTATGGGGTACACTGAAAAATAGAGTTTATGGTCAGAGGAAATATCAAAATATTGAGGACCTTCAATACAGCATTCTTAGAGAGTTCGGAAGATTGATGAGGAGGAAAATTAATCGTGCAGTAAATAATATTTGAAGAGGGGCACGGTTGTGTTATCATTAACAAAGCCAGCATTTTGAGCATTTGCTGTGATTAACTTCTGTCTTTACATTTTAGTTAATTATTGTTATTTGTTCAAAGTTCTATTTTCATTGAAAAGGACACAATGTCTAATTTACCTCATACACACCTCATTCATCAAATTTTGATTGTTGATTCTGTCTCCGTATTTCTCATTGGCTTTTCAAACGAACCCAACTCGGTGAGATTTTGATCCAATAACTTGAACATAGTTCGAGTGGTTGTTGTTTTTTGGGATACAAGTTTAAATACATTTCCGATGTCCTACAACTGTTTCTATCGTATTTGTAATAAATTTTCTTCATTCGTGAAAGCCATTTTTCGCCAAAAATTCAATGACTTGTACAATAACAAAATGTCATTGAGTGTAACAAATTGAAAGTCAAATTTAGAAACATCAAAGACAAAGCCTATTAGATAAGAATTAATTTTTTTCAATACCTTCAATTTTTCAAAAAAGAATGATAACTTATGATATATCATTGAAAAGGTGAAATTTGTTTCTATTCAAAACAGAAAGAATCAAATGTAGCGCCTATAAGAAAAAATAAAGTTGATGATGATAGCCGGAAGACGAAACGTCGGGTAGCAAATCTGAAAACACCAATATGTATCAGAGAAAAAGTGGCAATGTGGAAGTGCGATTTATTTTCGAATCCTTCGAAAAATAAAGCCAGAAAAAAATAAAAACCATTTTCCGAAATTTCTGTTTTTTCCGGATATACTCGGAATTTCAGAACTTTCTCGCCGGCATTTTGTTAGTTAGGTAAATACGCAACTTTGCTCCAATTTAACCATCTTCGTATCTCTCATAGTTTCCGAGATCCCAATGGTGAGGATCGAATTTGAAACACCCTGTATAAATTTAACATACTATAAAAATATGAGTCATGTTTGCCCCATTTTTTATAAAAAATTTGGGTGTTTATAACAGGAGCAAATAATCATTTGTCCGTTGAAGGGATGCGCGGAATATCAAAGAATCTTTGTCAGAATCGAAAAGAAACCTGTTGCATAAACCGTTAGCTGGATGCTGCATCGCGCCCGTACGCAGATGCTTTACTGGTCCAGTGGTGAACTCTGACCTCACATCAACCCTTTTACTGTGTCCCATAACCTGCTGTTATCCTGAATTTCTCTAGGCGATTGTGTGTACAATTTTACGAAGTAGAATCGAATCTCATGTTGGTGGGAAAAACAAAAACTTTCTAACTACTCAAAATGAGCAACGGAAAATAATAGTTGTTTAATCAAATGATCTTTTCAACAGGAAACATGTAAGGAAGGAAAATGGGAGTTATTTACAATATTTAATATAGTTTGAATTAATCTGAGTGCATTTAATACAATTTTATTGAAGTGCCAAATAATTTTATGGAACATGAATTCGAAATTTAGAAAGGGGCCCACAAAGCAACATTAGTGTGAGGTTATCCATGAATTTTCATCCACAACTTCTGATGTAGAGACAACCTATGGTGGGATAGAACTACATTATTGCGCAGTGTGCCAAGTCTCTAAGAGTTCTACTTGCATAAGAATTTCAATATAAAAAATCTTGCTCTATAATTTCAACTTATACAGAAAGAAGAACAAATAAAATCATATACTTGTGGACAAAATAAAATGAAATCCCTTAACAAACGTATTATTGAGAATATATTCACACAATACAGTTCAATACATGTTCAGAAATAAACAATTGAATATAAAGGAACTGATGATCAACAACTTATTTTTGACATAACGAATTTCATTACAGAGACATCGTTTTCTGGATCTTGAAATATTATATTTTTTCTGGTAATGAGAGGTAGTAGGAAATATTGTTCGACTTACGTAACATGCAGCTGAAGTTGATTCACTACTCCAAATTCCAAAATCTTTCAAATTCACCTTACATACTTTTAGCACATCTTCTGTCCCCATTGTAATTTCAGACTATAGGTAATTTTCCTACTGACTGCTCCAGTAGAGAAGGATTATTCAAATGCTTACTTGTCTCGAATATTTCCAACGTAACCACCAGGTTATTGACGTGACATGATAAAAATTGCAAATTTTGAATTTTGTTTATCGGAAAACTAATGACAAATTCTGGACGACCAAAACGCATTTCTAATGTTTCAATAACATGAATAATATTTTCAGGGTGCAATAATAAACTTATTACCGCTTTAAGAGCTTCTCCTCTGCAACATTAGCATCATTAGCAGCAACATTAGCATCACATGACATGATTTTGAAATGTAATTTTCCTGTGACACATTTGTTTTTTGAATTTTCGTTTTTTCTGGTGGAAAAGTAACAGAATGCACTTCACATATATCGACCCATTCTTGTACTCCTTTGAACATGCTTCCTTTATCTGTGCTCTCTGTGAGCAATTCTCACGAGCTGCTATCTCTTGTAGAGCATAGCTCTTCCTCTTTAATTCTAGTTTCAGCTAACTCTTTCTGAAGATCTAGAATCCTCGTTTGTTTTTCGAATTCCTGCTTTTTCATTCCCCTCTTCAGCTTGGCACTCGCGATATCAGTCTCCAACGTTGAACGCTTCCTTTCTGCCGATTTTCTAGTAGAATCTGATACTTTTGATGAATACCTGACTGATCCTGAATCTGTTGCATTGCCACTTCTAATAAATGACACATGAGATCCGGAAACTTTTGACTCTTCTATGAGAGCTGTTTTGACAATTTCCAGCGCTTGAGTTGCATTTCCTTGCTGGTGCGAAGACATGAAGATTTTTCATTCTGACTGAATGGTGTCATGAATATTTTGAATATTACGCCCTAATACCAGCGGCTATCGAACATGATCATTAAAAATTTTTATCTTGCCAGCATTTTTTCTTTGAGATCTTCTTAGATATTCAGACATGTTTTCTTCTTAGTACTTATTTGTGGACTTTATATATCTAAACCGGATCGAAGGACCATGTAATATCCTTTAATACCTAATTTTTCAACAAAATAAAATTTCAGTGTTACTATCTTCATTCGGGTTTGAAGGCCGTCATAGTTTGGAATTGCATCCCAACGTTTCGCCACCAATAGTGGCTGGCTTCTTCAGAGGTTTATTTATCTTGATTCGCCGATTTTACTTTTATGACGTCTATTGACTTTTTCTGACAATCAACACCAACTTTTTTTAACATATCTCATTCACAGCTGATATGAACAAATAATATACTGAAGGATACATGACAAACATCAATTAGGAATTAAATTAACAAAAAATATAATCTGTAACAATAAACTTTAGAAAAACCCTATAGGAAAATGATAAACTTACTTTTGATTTATTTATTGCTGAATAATAAAAATGAGCGAGATCAAACACTATGTGTGTATAGTACTGAGAATAACAGAAATCAGAATAAATAGAATATTTTCTAATCAAATAAGAATTAGTTGATGAAAATGAAAACAATTTTATCGTGATAGTTCGTACTGGAACCTCTAGCGTTAAATGAATCTATTGAAAACACTTTCCCAACACCATAACAAAAAACGATCTCTCGACACGCGTCGAGAGATCGTATTTTGTTCTGTTGCAATATCGAGAATTTCCTTTACACATATAGCAATAATTTATAACTAATTCAAATCCGGCTCAAAAGACCAATTTTGTTCAGTTGTTTTGAGCGTGGACTGTTTGATTTAATATTAAATAATCCTGAATTATCACTTCGCGCGAAAATGTAAGAAATGGTTCCTGCTAATGTAATCCAGGAACTGATTGATTCTCACAGATACCACTGCACACGTAGCCGTAATCGGACGGTATTTTATTTCAAGAGTACCTACAACACCTAGAGGTGCGTCAAATAACCATTTAAATTCAAATTAAATAAGATTCTAACGATGAATCGATTAACTAAATTAATTAACTAAACAAATAGCTGAAAATGCATTATTATGAGCCATGACTCAACGGAAAACATGCAGGCCATCGAAATTCATTTTTTATGACTATTAATTGATGTTTTAGTTCACGACGACGTTTTAAAACTATTCTGTCATTCTGTGATAATTATATTTCTGTGCTTATGAAAGTATTTGACATTTGACAAATGTCAATAATTCCCAGCTGCATATCCAAACTATAAAGAAACGATTAAAAAAATATAACGATTAGGTAAAATTTTATTTTATTATTTTACTATATCACCCTTTGATATAATCGTCACAAAACACCAATCAAATAGCGTGACCTGAAGGTTCTTTGGTCCCAAGGTCTGAAACATGCAACTCAGAATAATATTTCATGAGATATATGTTATGTGGTCTGTAGCAGCTTTCGTGAAAGAAACATACGAATTTCGGCTGAATAGTCTAAAACTCTAGTGCACTGCATTCAAAACGTATTCGTCTGTGATTCAAATACATTCATTCTGGCGTTGAAATGATGACGTCACATCAACTATGATTTGAAACGTATTCATGATGATACCAGCGATGTAAATTCATAAAGTGTTTTCTGGCGTTTAATCGCATTCGAGCGTATATTCGAAAACGATTCGCAGTGACGTCAGTAATAATAAGATTCGCCAGAATGGTATGATTCAATTTGTTCAGATGTCGAATTCAATAATGAAAACAAGTTTTTCAATTTTCTCTAATCTCAATTAGAATGAGATTTGTGGAAGTAATAATTTTTCAGCTTCATTTGTTACATCCTTACAACGTATTTGATAAAAAGTTTTCAGCACCTTATAAACTATATGATCAAAATAAAGCAAAAACTGACAACTGACGTAACGTATCGTCAAAATTCGTTTCAAAACCAATTTCACGCTGATTTTGAATCATCATGAATACGTTTCAAATCAAAGTTGATGTGACGTCATCGTTTCAACGCCAGAATGAATGTATTTTAATCACAGATGAATACTTTTTGAATGCATGAGCGCCAGAAAATGCCTAAAATTTTCAGTTGGAAACACTATTGGCAACACTGAACAGTGTTGCTAAATACTGAATACTGACACCGTTCATATTCATGTCAATTGTCAATCATTACATGATACTTTACTGAAAGATCCTCAGTACTGGCGCCGAAGCAATATATCTGCGGAACACTGGCGCCGAAGCAATATATCTGCGATACTTGAAGCATACCACTCACTTTCCCAGAAATTGAATGACATTCTACTTCTCCCAACTCTTTCTTGTTTTATGATTGGTATGGATATTCTTGCCTCACCATTGCGCTTCAAAGAATTTGACCTATCGAAGCAAAACAATAATATAGCAGAATTCGCCCGATTAGCTAATTTAAAGTTTCCAAATTACACTCACTTCTATATGGACGGATCCAAGGATACCTCTGGCCGTGTAGGCTATGGAATTTTCTCGCTAGCTATTGCCGAAGTCAGCGCTAGCCTTCCCTTCTATGGTCCATTAAAGAAACACTACATCTTATTCTTGGTCAGAGACTTCAACGTGTTGTGATTTTTAGTGATTCCAAAAGTGCATTACTTAAAATAACACGAACTGCAATTTCGGCGCACAGTGACCTCTTATCGCTACAAACCAAACGATATGTCTTAAAAGCGATTCACAGTGCCATTGCTGTTGCCCTCGTGTGGATACCGAGTCATTGTTACATACCTGGCAACGATACAGCTGACCGTCTTGCGTCGATGGGACGGTATATTGAGACTACAAACCGCCCTCAAGCCGATTTTCGTGAATTTCTTCTCGAGATAAAATCGAATTTATGGATCAGCTGGTCAACAGAATATTCCCGACTAGAGCGATACAAAAGCGTTCAATATCACTCATCAATACCAGCTCCGTTGAAAAACCTTGGTTCAATACTTTCACGACATGTCCAGGGGATATTATCACGACTGTAACTAGAATGTGCAGTACTTATTGCTGAACTATAGCACACCTCCACAAAATTCGATTAAAGGAGTAGCATGAAAGGTGTGAGTGTGGGGAAACGCAGGATTTGTGGCACATATTCTTCGGGTGTACACATAACAAAACCAATATTCGTTCATTACATACCTACATCCATAGGATGAAGAAGCAACAGGGTCCCCTGTCGTTACATGATATTTTATTTAAACATTTGAATATTCAGAACTTAAAGACATTACATTCCTTCCTTACCTCATCCCACCTCAAGCTGTAACGGATGGATTTCCGCTGACATTGTAAACCATTGATGATTGTTGTGCTCATCTTCCGAATTGACTGTGCTTACATTGCGAACAATCTATGTGTTTACTAATGCGACGTCTTCGTAGTGCATGGACAACCATTTTTTCACCTGTATGATAGAACTGGGTTATTTTCAGCTTGCCGTGCTTGACAAGTTCCTGGATAGTTATTTCCACTCAATTGTGGATGGGCCCGCCCCAGGTCCACTTAAGTATAGCCACATTTGGCTTTAACAACAACCTTCGTTACAAACTGGCCGGATAGCCTTAGTTGATGAGGCCATTGGATCGAAAAGAAGAAGAAGTCATGCTGCATGAAAGGAAATGGCCGATAACAATATTTCAATTTTGATACCGGTAATGTTTAAATATTACTTTACGTTGCAGGTTTCCATCTTTATACCCTTGTGACGAAGAGGAATCTAGGAAAAAGTTGTGAAATTCTGAAAAAAGACCTGTATTTGTATTAGAAGTCGTCAATGACAAGACGGTTTTGTAAGGTCAGATTTTTGATATCTCAAAGATCCATTTCTCCGTATGGTCAGTAATCACCAGAAATGAGATGCAGAGGTGTCACGAACTTAGTCAACGACTTGGAACCCTTTTAAAAGGGTCCTCATATATACCAAATAGAACACTTATGAGGCTGCATAAGATATGGATTGAAATCAGATCCACACTTCATTAGGGAAGCTGCTGAGGTCATTACATATTTTTATGGACATGAACACGCTCAGTCTGCATATCATATCCTAGTTGCAAATTACCAGCTTCACAGTCTGTTTAGAAAAATTGTTTTCCTTTAACCACCTGTTGTCCCCCTACGAACAACTCTCCAGAGTCAAAACTTGTGAGAGCAAAGACTAACTAGGTTTTACCTTTCACCTTGTGATTCCTACACGAGGAAGTTAGCAATAAGTAGGTAATACATGCCGTACTACTCCCAAGAAGAAGTATTGTTTCCACACGATTTGTGCTTTAATTAAAGCTTTTAATGTGTGATTCCGTGTTGGGAATCATACGTTAAAAGGTAAGACCTCGTTAGTCCTTAGCTCGCACAAGTTCTCAACTTCTGAGAGTTGTCGTTCGTATGGGAGCAATAGATGATTAACGGAAAAACAGATTTTTTAATCTAAATGCGTCCAGCAGTTATGGTGAACCAAACCAACGCATCTTATGTCATTATCAGAATGTGAGGGGTCTCAACAGTAAAATTGACTCATTCAACGCAGCTGTTAGTGATTGTGAATTTAATGTTTCAAATTGTGAACTCTTTACAAGCTCTTACTGTGTACATCGAAAAGATCGCAAACTGGAAATTGTGGATGAGGTAACAGGGGGAGGTGTATTAATTGCTTTAAGGGACTCCATAGATTCAGAAGTAATGGATATCAATACATTTAATCTACAGTTTTCTTTGATTGATATCTTAATAGTTAAATGTCATTTAGAGCATAAAACATTCTCCTTAATAGCTTTGTATATACCTGATATGATTGGATTAGTTGAATTTGAATGTTTTTTTGATGCCTTGGAACAGTTAGATTATTTATATGAGAGTAATTAAATTTTTTTTGGGGATTTCAATGTTCCGAAGTTCATCGAAAAGGAAGTTAATGATCCAAAAACGTTAGAACCCTCAACTACTTTGACATGCTTGAGTATAAACAATCAAACTGTATAACTAATTACCTGAACAGAATGTTAGATCAAGTTTTTCACCTTTTTCTTGTTATGTTACCCATGAAAATTTGACTTTTTTACCTGAAGATAACCACCATCCTGCATTAAGTATCAAAATAGCTGATATACACATCAAAGAAAAGAATTTCAAGTTAAACCAATCAAACATCACATATAACTTTAGGAAAGCGAACTTTCCATCTTTTTATAGAGAGATAGAGGAAACTGATTGGAGTAATTTAGGTACGTCCAAGGACGTTAATAAATTACTCGATAACCTATATTCAATTTTATATGGCATTTTTGAGGATCATATACCCAAATTCAAAAAATGTAGTCATGTGTATCCTAAATGTTTTCATTCTGATATCATAAAGAACATTAAACAGAAGGCTAAATTCAGGAAATTTAGACGTGATGAGGATAGATTTGAATTCCAACGTTTGCGTTCTTTGATTGAAAGACAAAAAAAAACCGCACATGATAACTATCTTGCAAACATACAAACAATGTTGTCTAGAGATCCTAGCAGATTCTGGTCATATGTTCACTCTAAGAATAACAGCACAAGAATACCAGGATCAGTAACCTACTCAGGAAACAAACTCGAGAATCCTCAAGATATTGTTGATGCCTTCGGTAATTTTTTCAGTGAGGTGTATTCAAAATCTGGCTCACTTTTGAACAAAATTGGTACAGTGAATTATAATGTTCATATTCATTTTTACCCCATTCAAGAAAATGAGGTTATATCTGCAACTGAAAAACTAAAGGACAAACTGACATCAGACCCAGATATGATCCCATCATTTTCGTTGAAGGATTGTGCAGGAGCATTAGCAAAACCTTTAACGAGAATTTTAAATTCATGTCTGATATTTGGAACTTTCCCAGATATTTGGAAATTAGCTAAAGTATGTCATGTATACAAAAGTGGTGAAAAATTATATATAGAGAATTACAGACCCATATCTGTTTTATGTATGTTTTCTAAAATTTTTGAGATTATTTTATATAATCGCATATATGCCTCTGTTCAACAGCAACTATCTCAACATCAACATGGATTTGTTACTAAGCGTTCTACTGTTACAAATCTAGTCATTATTACTCAATTTATTTCCGAGGCATTAGATAACAATGGCCAAGTTGATGTTATATACACGGATTTCTCTAAAGCATTTGATAAAATTGATAATGGTATCTTGCTCAATAAACTGATGAGTTTTGGTTTTTCGAATACTGCCAGGCAGCTTATGCAATCCTATCTGACATATAGAAAACAATTCGTCTCCTATAACGGTTATAAATCTAGAACATATATAGCTTCTTCTGATGTGCCTCACGGCTCCAACCTAGGTCCTCTTTTGTTTTTGTTTATTAATGACTTAAGTGAAAGTTCAGCTTGTGGGCGGTTATGCTTCGCGGATGACTTGAAATTATTTTCTATAATTAAGGAAGTAGGTGATTGTGTAAATCTTCAATCTCAATTAGAATATCTTGTTGCTTGGTGTAGCAATAATAAAGTGAAACTCAATGTGGAGAAATGTAAAGTAGTGAGTTATAGTCAAAAAAAAGAGGTTTATACATTCCAGTATGTAATACAGGATTCAGATCTGCTGAGATGTAATGAGATCAAAGACCTAGGGGTAATATTTGACCATAAATTAACATTTGGTAGACATATTTCACAAAAAGTTTCAGAATCTTTCAGAGCTTATAGTTTCATTGTCAGAAATTGCAGAAACCTTAATAATATTAAAGCTGTTGTATTTCACCTACGTACGTTCGAAGATAGAATATGCAAGTATCGTCTGGAGTCCATTCTATGAAATTCATAACATAGCCATTGAAAGAGTTCAAAGAGAGTTTTGTAAATTTCTAATTTTCAAAATAGATGGTCTTACCCTGAGAAAGGTATCAGTAATGATGTCATATATGAACGTTTGGAACTTTTTAGTTTAGACTAGTTTAGAGCATCGCAGAAAAAGTGCGTCGCTCATATTTTTATTCAAGTTAATGAATGAGAGAGTTGACTGTCCTAAAATTCTTAAACAAATGAACTTCAATGTACCAAGGCCAGCTTCACGATCTCAATCCATTTTTAGACCTCTCAGATCAAGAACTAACGTATTGTGAATAAAATTTTATATTGTTCTGTAAATGGGTAACTGTTGGACAATAAAGCTATTATTATTATTTAGTAAAGAGATTTTTTTAGTTTGTTCTTTGAAAGGAAAGAGAAGTGAAAAGTTTGGTGAATAGTTTATGATCATGAAGTAATATGTTCATGAAGAATAATGAATTGTCTCCTAAAATAAGCAAGACTTGTAAAGTCAAAAACAGTTGTGAAATTATATTCTCAAATATCTCTTCAAAATTAAAACCAAATATCAACCTGATTATCCTCTCTTCAAAGACGCATATTATGCAAGGGTTATTTCTTCAATCAGTTTAATGCTTATAATTAAAATTATTCTTTTATATGTTGGAATAGTTTGTCTATATAGTTCATAAAAGCAATCCTCGTAAACTGGTTTCAGTTCTTTGAAAGTCATGAAAATATTTTCATTCGTTAAAAAAAATACTTAGACATCTGATTTTTTTATAAACAGCTGACAAGAAATTCAAAATTGGTAATTATAGTAATACTATCCAATTGGGATTTGAAATATAGCTGGTATTCAGATTGAAAATATTGTATAAGGCAAAGTTTAGTAGGTATCATAATTCCTCAATATTTCAAAAAGTTGATGCTGAAAAATATTACCTATGTAATTTTCAATCAAATGGTTATCATCTTTTTGAATACTGTTATAAAAGAGACATACAAACACTGCTATAAGGATTGGGAAGATCTGAATTAAATTTCATATATGTAAAATATTCAGTCATATATTTATTTCTCATAATAAAACAATGTTATCTGAACTAAATCAGAACAAATGATCATTAACTTAATTAGATATCATATACATTATAAAAAAGGAAAGGAATACTGAATTCATCACATGCTTTTTAAAATAATTTATAGAATAATTTTCAACAAATATAAATGTTCTAAACTTAACATACATAAACTAGCTTCAACTTTCTTTGGCTAATATTGAAATGGCATATTTATTGCGAAAGTAATATAGGTTTCTTATATTAATTAATCAATTTGTTTATATGTTGGACATTTATTTTACAAATTGAGTCCTCATTAAAATATATATCAACTGAATACATTATTAAAAATTAGAGTTATCTAAAATATATAAACAATAATAAAATAATATTACAAAGGTTAACTTTATATGATCCAATAGGTAAAAAATATGAAGTGACAATAAAACTTTAAAAAACCCAAGTATTATCTCTAGATTCATAAGATATGAAGAAGTTTCTTCAGAATCTCACAATATACTCAATATAATAGTCTGAACTGTTTGAAGGCGTTATATATGTGCTATGTGGAGTAGTAGTTATGACCTGTATAACCAATAGAATATCATCACTTGTCAAATTAGGTATTTCACTTAGGAAAACAACTGAGTGTAAACCACATCTTCTGTGATCCACATTATAATTCAGTGCCATTGTTAGGAAATTGGACCTTATTTTAATATAACGCCTCACCTAAAAAAATGTTTCAGAAACAATTGCAATATCAAATATATAACTGTTTGACAAAATCGTGATCCAGAAGAACAGAACTAATATTTATCCCTAAATATACGAGTAGCAAAGTAACAAAACGGATCAGCATTTAGCAGATTTTGGTGATTAGGATTGCTCTCGAGGTCATTCTACCTGATATCTCCAGGTTTGAGGTTTTTGTGAAATCTGTGGTCTGTGTAAACAATCTACATAGCATAGAAAAGACAACAGTTGAACAATAAATATGAAGCATAAAAAGTGATGAAATGTGTTCAAAAACATCAGAAATGTTGCTCGACCCTTATTGCCACCATTTAGAAGAGTATATCTTCAGAACTTGATAGTATAAAATTTAATGATCCTTTCAAAAGCATGTATAGGGAAAATCCAAGAATTTTCATATTTTTGCCAACCTTTCAAATCATGTTCATTGTGAGAACTAAAAAAATCAGTTTTATGTGATCCAAGAATTACAACACAAGAAAATGGACTTTACACTTTAACCCTTAATTTTGCAATGCAATCTATAAGATACATTATATTCGAACCACATAATTCTGCCAAAAATGACATTCATCGGGTAAATTCAACTTGCTATGGTTTCAAATACACTTCAATTGAGCATAATTGGTAACTACTTACGCCACATCTAAGCCACATCTCAACGCGGATGCGAACTAGGTGATCATGTAGTAAGATGACCGCGGTGAGAAACACGTGATCTTGGCGCCTGTTTAAGTTTTGCTTAGTTTTTCACAAGAAATCAGTTTGTTACCAATTTCAGTTTTTTTGTAGAAAAAAAGGCATTTGTTTTGTATGTATCCCATAGTTCACATTACCAATTTCTCGAATGTCCATGTCAGATTTATTTTGTATCCAATAATACACATTGCCAAGTTCTCACAATTTCATATGAACCTTAATGTGTATCCTATTGCCTTCATTGTCAAATTTTGAATATGAGTTCGTTATTTCCAAATTGTGGAAAATACACATTCATGAGTGAAATACTTGGTAGATGAATATCAATCTTTCTTTTACAGAATGACCACACGGAAAGACAAGATAATAGCCTTACTGCCACCTCCTGATTCGGATGGTGGAACAAGCGACGATGATGCAGAGAATTTTGAGGGTTACGGTGATAGGTATTCTTCTGATACATCCGAAGCACCCTCTATTCCTGATTCCGTAGCTGAAGAATTAGATTCAATTCTGAGATACTCCGATACCGACACCGAGGATGTTTTGAAAGGAGATGACAATAACTGTGAAGCATTCGTATTCAAGACACCTGTCAAAAATATCCCTCCGTTCACATACACTCCAACACCTAAATCTATATTTACTCCGCTGAACAACAGTAGTGATAGTAGCAAAGAACATAATAAAGAGAATACAGAACCTTGATAATTTAGAACAAGAAAAAAATAAAGCAGAAAGGGCAAAATATGGAAAATTCAGAAAAAAATACTAAGGGTCACAAAAAAAAGTACGATTACAAGTGGTCCAATGAAAAAATTCAGTTTTCCTGTCGACATTCCCGTCAACAATTTCACATTGCCGGAGGTAATGAAGTCACCTATGGAATATTTCAAAATGTTCTTCTCTGATGACCTCCTACAGTTATGTATCAACACAAATCTATACTCAGTACAAGTGACGGGAAAATCCATGACTGAGGCTGAAATCTGTGATTTCATAGCCATTCATATTTATATGGGTATAGTCAAAATGCTTTCATATCTGGATTACTGGAGTCAAACATTTCGGTACCCAGAAATTGCAGATTTAATGCCTCTGAAACGATATCAGCAGATAGGGAAATACATTCATTTTGTAAATAACAGAAATCAGAAAAATGATCCATATTTCAAAGTAAGAGCTCTTTTGAATATAGTTAGGAGGAACGGTGTTAAGGTAGAAAATGAGAAAATGCAAAGTATCGATGAAATAATGGTGCCACACAAAGGAAAGAAAGCTGGATCTAAAAGGCAATATATCAAATCAAAACCAAAATAATGGGGCTACAAAACATTTTTGTAAGAACGGACATATCTGGGTTTGTGTATGATTTCCTCGTGTATGGAGGAGAAGGCACATTTATTCAACATCAAAACTTCACGGATGAAGAAATGTCAATGGGATTAGGGACTAAGGTTGTCATTGCTCTTTGTCAGTCCATACGAAGTGCACCGTGCACCACAATCTATTTTGATAATTTTTTTGTATCCCTCGATTTGCTCTATGTATTGTCATTGGGAACTATAAGAACAAACCGATTGAAGAATTGCTCCCTAGAGAATGACAAAACATTGGCAAAAAGAGGTCGAGGTGCTTTTTGTCACAAAACTGATAATGAGGAAAAAATCACATGCGTCAAGTGGTACGACAATAAAGCTGTTACCCTAGTCAGTACCTATATATATTCTGAACCAATAAGCACAAAAACAGAAAGGAGAGAGTTGATGTCCTATGTCCAAGTTTTATCAAGCATTATAATGCTCACATGGGTGGTGTAAATTTGATGGATATGCTAATCTCCCTCTATTGCATTCGAATAAAAACTCGCCGTTGGTATCTGTCTATATTTGCTCAAATGATAGATATATGCTTGATTAACGCATGGTTATTGTACCGCAGACATCGACAATTGTTGACTATTGAAGAAAAAGAACTGAGCTTGAAAAAGTACAGATACTTTGTTGCTCAGGAGCTGGTAATAAAGGACAGAACAAAAAAGAAAAGAACATCTACCGAAGAAGACAAACCTGTAAAAAAATCAAAAGAGCAGTAATTCCGAAGCCTGCAAGTGACGTGAGACATGATAAGGTCGACCATTTTCTCATATATATCACTAAGGGTCATTGTCGGTTATGCAAAACAGGAGAAACTCACTGGATCTGCTCAAAATGTGAAGCGTGACTGTGTTTAGTCAAAACTAGAAATTGTTTCTACTCATTTCATGAAAATAACAACTGAAAGTGTTCTTAATGTTTTAGTCCAATTGCTTTCTTTCATTTTCAAATATGTTTTTCTATTATAGTTATGTAAGCTAGGCAATTGTTACTCTAGTAAATTCTAATGGTGGTTCTAAAACTGAAATAAATATTGGTTCAGAACTCTTAGGTTACTTGATTAATAGTTGGTAATGTATCCGATACAATACAGAACATAATAACATCTTGTTTTTTATATATTGGCAATGTATCTCATAGGATACAATTAATTTTTCATACGCTTTCCACCTAATCTCTAATTTTTTGCTAGATTCATGTTTTTTGTGAGATATACATTCAGGAAAAATCAACTTTTACGAGAAAATCTAGGTAAATCCCATCCTGCCAAATTAAGGGTTAAAGATGAATTGAATTTAATTTGAAACAATGTGAAGAAACTACTTGTTTTCCTTTGGAGGACTGAAAGAAAACTTATCCTTTCCTAACCAAAATAAGAGTTTCACAGTTTAGAAAAATCTGACACTGATGATGGGGAAGTAGGATCCTACCTAGGTGTATATTTTTGTAATGGGTAGATATTGAACTCCAATTACTTAGTGCATTTTTGCAGTTGTTTAATTGAAAAGAGCATTGTTCAAGGTTTGAACCACAGAGAAATTAATACTTTCTGCGCCATCTACGGATATGAAAAAGTGCTACAATCCATTATCATGAATGTAGAACTCCAACTATCCGAACCCTCAATTATAAGGATCATTTTTAGACCAAAAAAAATCTTCAGTTTGAATTTTTCAGGCAAAAGTACCTTGTAAATAATGCACATTCAGAAGTTAAGAAGGAGAGGAAGATTTCCTGACTGGCTGAATCGTTTTAGTAGTAATTTTTTTCTGTACATATATCAAGTAGGTATGTATTACTACATCCAACTATACTGTAGTCAAACCTTAAGTTAACATGAAAAATGAGAAATAAAACTTTCTATATTTTTTTACCACTTTTATTATTATATTATTTATTTTAAAAGTGGTTAAAGGAAGTTTTATTTCTCATTTTTCATGATAGTCTCGTGCCATTTAGTAACGGCTACATCCATCAATTTACTTTTAATAACAGTATTGCAACACCAGAAGAGGCTATCGTATAGCGAAACATGTGTCGGGGTTTTGTGAACTTTCAAATGGAAATATCACATTAAAGTGTTTTTTGAATATGTTATGATGGATTTTCATCAAGTATCGGTCAGTTCTATCATATTTTTTAAATTAAATGATGTTTTAGAGTCAAGTTATTCACATATTGTTCACGTTAAGAGTACCTTGTAATAAGTAACTTGATTTCTCATTGGGTAGGTTGTTTTCTTATCGCTTTCAGTAGAACTTATAATAAACTATTTTTTATCTCAATAAAATCAACTTACCTGGTAATAGATGGTACCAGGGTTCAAAGTCAAGAGAAGTTGTCCTCTAATAAGGAATTGCCCAATGTCATAAACTGATTGATTTCTCTGGATATGCTCTATGTGTTTATTATTGTCTTTTAAAGCAATTCGAATTTCAAACTGAAGTTGTTTAAATTCTTCAGAATATCGGTCCAGCTCTATTTGTTGGCACCAAGAATGTGTGCTCATCACACCCTTTTCCCAATTTTCTGGAACCCAATTCAGTATCGCTCTCTCCATTTCCTTCTAAAATAGGAAAACTTTGTAACTTCGTTCAACAAAAAAAGTTTCAACTATTACCTTTACCTTAGATCCTGTATGAACGAAATAACTGAACAAGCAGATGAAATCAACTATTCAAGATCTACACAAATATTTTGTTCTAGAATGTAGGGACTTCACACGCAATTCTCTCCGTAGTTCCCCGATCCAAAAAAGACGCGGAGAACGGAGAATTGTCGATAGACTCTACAGAGGTTGCCACATTTTTCAAGATAGTTGTCGATAGAACACGAAACACTCATTTTGAACCTGTGAAGCTTTATAACTCGTATTTATTATATGCGAGCGCTCGACAGCTGGTCGTGCTATCATCATCAAGGCTTTACTCAAACTGCAGTTTGCATCTCTCTATATATATATATATAGTTGGAGAACAATCTAGTTGAAAAAACCAGACATCACCAGAAGATGGCAAATGAGACTTTGCCGAAACGTTAACTTCTTAGGAAGATGGTTTCGTTTTTGGTGCCACACACTGTGGATGCTTCATACCCACCAAAAATGTGCGCCTAACGGTTTCCGGTGAAAAAATAAATGGTTTTGTCTGATTCCAATTTTTCAGTAGTCAAAATATTCAAATATCCGATGTTTTATAAGAATTCTTTTTATTATTATCATTGATCTGGGATTGAAATTTGGGGTGATTTTTTTGTTATTACGGATAATTTATTATCAATGAAGTCAACTGTAGTATTTTCGATAATACATTATGGTTGTAATCGTTTTTCTGGATAAGTTAACTAAGACCTCTAGCGAGGTCAAATCAATTTCAAATTATCCGAAGTTGGATATTTCCATAAAAAAGAGATTAGAAAAACGTTTGAGATCACATCAATTTTTTGAAAGAAAAAAATATATTCGTGTTCCCCAAGCTCATTGCGAACAAATTTTTATCTGTCTATGATCCATAACCTTGATAAAAACTATAATCAACCCCAATCTTCTGAAGTTTACATTGGAAAATAAAAAGCCAACAATGCATATTAGTGTCCTTATGTGAGTACGCATTTTAGTTATTTAATATTGAGAAACATTGAATTAGCTCAAGTGGGAGTGAGTACAACTCTCGCTCGAGATGGTTGGCTCTATCCTAAAACTTCGAACATATGTTTTTCTCGAGAGAATGTGCAATATGCAATAGTCTACCCTCGATCTGGTTATTGAAACTGTCGGGGAAGAACAAATAAGTTGCTGTTACGAATATGCTTGCCATTCCGTACTTACTCTACTCGTTTGGAGTAGTGTATTGGACACGGGAGGAGCTGTGTCAACACTGTCAACTCGACATGAAGACCCGAAAAATGATGCATCTCCATAGGAGTTAGCATTCCAAATCATTCGTTCCGCGGTTGTACTTTCAACGACAACAAGAATGAGTGACTTTTGAGTTTGGAGTGTTTACATGACTGTAATAGCATAGTCCGCGAACTATTCATTCCTCAGCCTCAGGCCCATACAAAATAATAAGTCTGATGTGGTTCTTTTCGACCAACAGACAGACAATATTCGTCGTGTAGTTTTTAGCTCCCGATGAGGAAGATATCGTTCGAAAAGAGGAGGAAAAACGGATGAACTATCGAGATGTTCTCTTCAATTTCCCCAGACTCTATCTAGACCACTATTTTAAAATGGTTGTTCTGATAATTGGAGTCCTTAGTGGGATGATGTCCTCTTTACTTTCGAATGTCATGATCAAGCCGGCTAGCCGCACGAAAGCAGAAATCTTGGCCATACAAATTCAGAAGACTTGACACATTGCGTCTGCTTTAGAATGAGTGTATTCAACCTGTGTTAGGGTTTAAAAATATATTTCATCAGTATTTCTTAATAATGAATTATTTGTCAGGTTTGAACCATATGTCAGGAAAATGGTTGAAATTCTAATAGTTCTTGTAGGAGGAAAAATACTATTCTCATTCAACCTAGCGGAGTTTTTACAGTAAGAATAATATTTTGAACATACGCTCAATCTACAAAATCTTTTCGATGTGATTATCTCCTCAACAAAAAATCAACGATTTAAATTTAAGCCACGTACATTTTGAATATTTTATAATTGTATTTTAATTTATCTCCCTAAATATTTATCTGATCATATGTATGGAATAATTAACAACTTTTGTCTATTTTCCCAAGGTCACGTGAAGTCGGATAGCTCGTGAGCCTTTTTCCTGAAAACAGTACAGCGAACGTGTAGGGACAAACATAAACTATCCACATGTAAAACAGTGTTATTTACGTAATATCAATTTATCATTTAAAAATATAAATCTGATATAAAAAATTATTTTGTGGTAGTATAATGCCAACCAAGCATGGAAAAATTGGAAACCTTAATAGATACAAAGTCAGTTATATTAGAAAATAAAGCTCACTCTAGAGATTATATTCATGCCGTTCTGAAATTTGTGAAATTTGGATTGGTTTCAGACGTATTCGAAAAAACCAATATTCCGAAATTATTTCTTTCCTGACGTTATTTAGAAAGATATTATACAAAAATACTTTATCATCGCCACTTTTCTAACTGTACTCTGTTTTCATATAAACATTGAATTACACGAAAGAAAAATACTTTCGAAAGGAACACTTTATGTGAACACTGAATTATAGGAAAAACACTTTTCTCTATTCCGTTTGTACAGTCTGTACATTATGACATTTGTAGATTTCTAATCCGACATTTCGTTTCTGAGAAACCATCACCAATTTCGATTCGTGGGTATAAGCACAGCTTACTTACTATAGTAAGTAAGCTGTGGTATAAGTTAGCATGGTTATGTTGCTACATCAGTGAAGTTGTCGCCATAACCGACTGATTCTTTTTCACAGTCTACATAAAAAATTAACATTGGTGAGTGTGAAAAGTGGCAATGAGAAAGTGTTTTTATTAACAATATCTTCCCAAATAACGTCAGAAAGTAATTGAAACAAATTTTTGCCAATCGGTTTCTTTTTGAATACTTCCGGAAGTAATCGGAATACCGTTAATTTAAGTCGTCTTTGTATCTCTTACGGTTTCCGATTTTCCTATGCTGTCTCTTCTTTGTCTTCGATAGGTACAGTAAAAGATGAATGAAACACTTTATATAATTACTTCTATGGTCCAGTGTGACGTTTTAGAGGCGACCACAACGACCGCGGTCATCATGTGCCACGATTATAGAAGCATTTTGATCGTTGTTGCTGCGGTGAAACGCACAACGCACGGTAAATATACTTCACACTTTTGTATCGCAACCATAGACCGGTGGTCTGTGATCGCCACTGGAGTACACTACCACTTACGCGAAAGACTAAAACTGTTGATAAATTGAGAAGAGGAAAAAAAAGACATTTGAAATCAAAATTATTATTTTGAATTTTGTTTATAACACATTCAAGTCTATTTTGATTGTTGAAAAGTGATGATTATTGTATATTAATATATTCATTGTGCCATGGAAGGCGATAATGTTGTTAGGACAGATCGGTTTAGGAGGATTCAAGTAAATGAAAACCTACCAACATATCCTTTCATAAATAATCTAAATACATTTTTCAGGGTGCCTGCTTGCAAATTGGTGATAAAATATATCCAGTTTATAAGGGAACCAATACCGTTGGAAGAAACAAAGTTGCAACTATCAATGTAAAGCATTTGGTAAGACAAAATCTCTCCAAGGTTTTGTATGCTATAAGTACATACATTCATTGATTGAAGGTGAATTCGTGCACCAGTCTTATGTCGCGAGAAATAATTGTTTTTCAATGGAAACATTTATGCAAGTATTTTAAATTTTGAGTCCAACAAATAGCCAACATACAGATTTGTGACTTGATCCTTCAGTAGATGCAGCTGGTGTAGTGGACCAGGCAGGTTACGATTGGTGTTTTGTAAAAACTATCATCAGTGTATGGAATTCTCGGGCTGTGTATCTTTCATTGATAAATCAGCATATATTCGTTAACTTTCCTAGAATAGTAACTGAGTAAATTGACAAACTGATGTAGTGGACCATATGCAATTACTGTAATCATAATTTTGGATTATGAAAGAGAGCTGGAAAGGATATTGCGATTTTTCAAGGATGTCCAACCAGAAGATGGATACGATGATGAAGAGGAAGATAAAAATTGAAGAACGGTCAGAGGGAAGTAAAAAAGATGAAAAAGTTGAGGAATTAGAAAAGAATTACTTATGTTCCATTTGTGAACTTTACTTTTTTGGCAAATACCCCAATAAAATGGTTCAAACATAGTGGAGCCAAAAATGTTGGAACTCAAAAAAAATATTGTTTTGTAATTTCCAGAATCGAAAGAATATGTTTGATATAATCAATAAGATATTTGGAATGATTAGTATGATATGGACATCACACACATAACAAAACATAATATAACCAAAATCCTAGAAACACCCAGATTAACAGACCACTTTATAGTAACCATCAACTACCAAATGAGGGAGGAACATTGACTTTTATGCAATTAACTTAAAACTAGCAGAGGTGAATTGGAACTTTAGAATAGATAATATTGATGATAAATATGGGGATTTCAGAAACATATTTGTGGATAGCTTTGATGAAGTTGCACCAATAAAAAATATGATAATATATCCAAAAAATACAAAGTGTGGTGGAACAAATGTGTTGCCGAAGCTACAAGAAAGAGAGAGACAGTAGTCATAAAATGTTTGTGATGACTTGAAGCCTAGACAACTGGGAACATTATAAAAAAAATCAAAATGTAGCTGTACAAACAATTAGGCGAGAAAAACTTCATCATAAAAATGCAAAAGAAAGAAAGAAATATTGAAAGAAATGTTACCCAAAACCGAAAACATGTGTGTTGTAAATGAAATTCAAATTTCCGAACAGGAGACTATCAAAGATATCTGTGATATATCCAACGCTTTAAACAAATATTATATCAATATCATTAAGGACATAATTTAAAGTATTGTCACAACTTGGAATAATAATAATAGTAAATATGCTTTGTGGTCCAAAGAGAAATTCTCATTGTCAAAGCTTTGGTAAACATTGTTTTTTTTGAGAAGAAAAAACCATAGTCAATACGTGAAATCAGAGTAGTAGTTTAATAAAAATATCTAGAGTCCTACTATGGAAATTATAAATTTTGAATGTCGCATTTTCTAAAGAATATTTGTTACATACAAAATGAACAAAATAACATACCTACACACGTATATGAATATATACATACATACTTGTGATGCATTGTTTGGAACCTTTGGTGTAGTAATGAATATTTGCTGGAGTTTTATCCCAAAAACCAAACCGTTATTTTAACACCTCGACACGTGTTTCGATCATCATCAACTTCAAAAGGAAGATTAAGAAACTATGAGTTTAATCTTCTTCTTGAAGATCACTTGGTGACTGAAACACGTGTTGAGGTGTTGAAATAACGGTTTGGTGTTGGGATATATATATATATATATACTCCTACTCCTCAAACTCAAAGTCAGTTTGAGGAGTGCCAGATGATGACAGTACTACCAACTGTCGAAAGCGCTCGCAGATAATTAATAGAAGATATAAAGCTTCAAATCCTTTTTGTAGAATTTAATATTGAAATACTCAAAATAAAGGAAAATTAGTTGCATCATTCAAAAAAAAAATATATATATATACATACAAACACAAAAATGATTTTTAAAATGCCTAAATAATGTATTAAAACACAAATATGATTAAAAGGTATCGTCATAAAATTGTTGCAAACTATAATAGGGCCTCTTGATAAGAAAATCTTTAGTTGATTTTCAAAAGTCAGTACAGTTTACTATGCATTTCAGGTAGTTAGAAAGATGGTTATACATACAATACATACATACAATACATGCAATACAAAATTATCAGTTAAAGTTAAGTTAGTTATGGGAAGACTTAAATAAATTTAGGGTCTGACGTGTGGTATAATGAGAGAAAATTGAGGGAAGTTCTGTTCTATGTTTATGCACTGAACAAACTGTTTCTAAAATGAATAGAGCATACAGTGATGAAATTTTGTTTGCAAAAAATAAAGGCTTACAAAAATTTCGCTGCCTGACTCTACAGAGAAATCTTAATGCCTTTTTCATAGATGTGATTCTACTACTTATCTTTACACTCAATTGGAAGAATTCGAGATGATTGACTACATGGAGTTGAAAAATATCATTTTTTCATTGCACAATAAAAGTAGTACCTACTGACGAGATAAATATATTGCTCATGAAATATTGTTTTGATGACATTGCAGAACCGTTGCTCAACCTTGGTAATACTTTACTAGAGACTAGAACGCTTCCAAATGATTTGAAAATATCAACCATAATTCCACTGAAAAAAGGTATCTAATTCAAATAAAGCTTCCGATCTAAGACCAATAAATATGCTAAACTCGATTGAAAAAATTTTAGAAAAGGTAGTGTACGAACAATTGGTAAGATATAGTTAATAAACATAGTTAATAGTGTTCAATCTGTTTTTCGAAGCAAGCATAGTTGTGAAACAGCATTTCAATGTGTTTAGATGATTGGAAGGAAATAAACTGGTAGGTGCAGTATTCTTTGATCTACAGAAGGCTTTTAAAACGATGGATATAAATAGATTAGTGCTAAATATGGAATGTATCGGTATTGTCGGTAAAGCATTGAAATGGTTTGCAAACTGTCTAGATAATAGGAAACAAAAATTTCTTCTGAATAACATAGAGGAAATGAAAAATAGATTTGGGGTGCCACAAGGTAGTATTCTCGGCCCTTTACTCTTCCTGATTTCTATAGATATAGTAGGAGAAGCTGGAATGTGGACCATGGAATTTTGACGGAAATGATAAACTCTACGATAAATTGTATTCATAAATGGTGTTGCAGTAATTTATTTAAAATAAATGAAAATTAAACAAAATGTATGCTCATTGCAAGAGAAAACCAGATTAATACACTGCCAAACCAGAACTTGGAAATCAAACTATGCGGGAACTCAATTGAACAAGTAAAAAAAATCAAATACTTGGGTATTATAGTTGACTATGGACTAACGTTTAAAGAACATGCAAACTATATATTAAAAACTATTTCTTTTGAAGTAAAGTTTTTATTCGGATATTCAAGATACCTTAATGCATGGACAAAAACGATAATATATAATAGTATTATACTTCCCTATTTCAACTATTGCTCCACCATTTCATACCTACTGAACCAAAACCAAATTAACAGGTTTCAAAAACCACAAAACCGATCAGTGCATATCATTTTGTCATGTAGCAGAAGCACTCCCTTAAAAACCTTGTTGGACAGTTTAGGATGGTTAGCAATTAAAGATTATTTTTTATACCAGACACTTATTTTCAATTTTAATATCAAACTGGACGGGCATATAAATACCTAACTGATGAAATGAGTAACAATTTTGAACTGCACCAATACCCAACCAGATCAAGAAATTGCTTTCACATATTTCTAGTAAGGACAAAGACTTCAAAAGTCTGTCTTTGTTAAAGGAGCCAAAACTTTCAATGATTTAACCCCTGAATTAAAGCATATAGATTCTATTGACCTTTCAAAAGATTATTAAAAAAATATCAGATGGGAAAATGTAATGAGACTTGACGTTTATTTTATAAATACACACTATCTATATTTGTTGTGAGGCATAAACTTGTAGTTTAGAAACTTTTTATATATTACTTTTTTTCTATAGTGACTAATAAACTTTCAAACCTTGTTTTTTTTCTATTTCAGAATGTCAGTCAGAACCAAGCTATTATAATTTTAGTAGATGATCAGCAACACTTCATCAGTGATCTTAACTCTTCCAATGGAACATTTTTGCATGATGCTGAACTTGTGCCTTTTAAGCTTTATGAACTAGCAACAGACACAAAAATCACATTTGGAGATGTTGTTGGAACATATAAAAAGGTAAATATTCAAAAATATAAAATAAAATGAAAATAAATTTTCACTAATTTTTTTTAGATATCAAAGTTAAACAATACCCTAAACTTAATGGAGACAGCTGAGATGACTCAGGATATAACTCAAAATTTTTATGCTGCTAACACACAACTTATTTTTGACCACACAGTTGCTGACCAAATTACCGAACACTCTCATATCCATTCTCTCCAAAATGGACATTCAGCAGATCCAGAAAATATACATGAAATGGATACTCAAGTAATAGAATATCCACTGACAAATATTCAAAGAAATGAACCAACTTGTAACTCACCACTCATTGTAACTGAAAATTTGAACAAATGTGTTATAAAAGAGCCTGTAGACAATTTTATTCATGAAGCTCCTACACAGATTCTGGATTATTCTGACCTAAAAATCTCAAACCAGTCGCCTCTCAAGAAAAAAAGTGAAACAATTTCTAGAGAAGATGCAGAAGATATACAAGTTATCACTGGTTTCAAGGCAATAGAAATGAATTCTTCAGAGGAAGTATCTAGAATCAAAATGAGAGAATCTCCAAATGATATTAAAAACATTGAAATATCCCAAAAATCCGGCACAGATGAAATAACACAAATCTTGAATGAAGATGAAACCCAAAAAGCTATTGAGCTAATTAACACTAGTTTGCTAAAAGATTCCGAAGACAAAAAACAAAAAAATATTTCATCAGGTTCCTTCAGCTCTAAAACTTCTCCAGAATCAAATTCGGGAGTAACAACTCAAGTTTTGAATGAAAATGAAATGCAAAAGACCATTGAACTATTCAACCCAACTTTACAAAAGCTTGACAAAGACAAAAAGAATGAAAGGGAAGTGTTTCATTCAAGTCAAACTCCTTGTACTTCAGGAATGAATAGAAACACAACATTTCAAAATGATGAATCATTCATGAGTTTTCGCAAACAAATAAATGTGAATGAGGAAATAGAAGATACGTTCATTGAAGAAAGTGTGAGTAATGATTCTGTTGACTTTTTAACAATGCAGGTTCATGATCGTACTGAAGAAAATACAGAAGACAGTCAACCTGAAAAGAAGTCTACTACTTCTGTGAAGCGACAAGTTACAACTAATGTAGGTTCTGTCAAAGACATTATGGTTGATAAATTTAGTTGTGACGGTCCTGAAAGTGACATTTTTCATAGGTCAAAAACACCTACTCCAAAACTTCCTTCCGAACAGGAAGAAAAAAGTATCAACTCAGATTCTGAAACTGACATTGAAGATTCCGAAAGCAAAACAAAGAAACTAGGACCAAAGCAGCTGAATTTTGATGATTCCAATGTCAAGTTGAAATGCCCTAAAAAAATGACTTCTGAACGAAAAAAATTGAAGAAAACAATCTCAGAAAATCCTGACTCTGATACTGACATTGAAGATATTCAAGAAATTGGATTCAAAAAGAAACCTCTACGGAAATTGAACTCTGACGAAGATTTGACTCAGTCAAAATTGGCAGGATATATGTCGGGTTCAGATACTGACTGTGAGAAAGAAATCAAAGATAAACATAGTAGGAACCATGTAGATTTGGAAAATAAAAAGCAAGATAAAGATTCTGGTTCTGATACTGATATTGAAGTTGAGAAACATTCAGGTGTTACTCAAATGAATGATGGTGATTTGAATGAAACAGACTGTATTCCAGCTACTCAGGATGCTTTTGCTGAAGCTTTTGATTATAAGGCCCAGAGAACAGAAAATAGTTGTAATCAGTCTTCTGAAGAGAGTTTCAAATTAGGAATTACTGAACTTTTGAATGAAAGCAGTGAAAATAAAGCATATGTTGAAGTGAACACCGAAAATAAGATAGATGATATTGTTGATAACCAAAATAGTCATGGTAGACAAACTGATGAAATTTCCACAAATATAGAAGAACACTATAATGCGGACCAAGAAAATAATGATTCAATTCTTGATAATTCAAGTGAAATGGAAAAAGAGCAAAAGAATGATAACATTTATATTTTACCAACTCAAAAATTTAGAGGTGACGACAGTAAACCAAACCTGACTGATGGGGATCATCGATCACTTCAAACAGATGAAGAGATTCCAACTGTCAGTAAAGATAATGATGATGTCTACATGCTAGCAACTCAAAAAATGGATACTGAGAAAGATGTTTTCACAGACTTCAAAGCCCCTTCTAAAATGTTCACTTTCAAGAAAAAAGGTGCTAATTTGGAGGATTCACTGACAACAATTTTGAGTGACAATAAAAATGAAGTAGACATCTATATGATGGCAACACAAAATATTAATGAATCTTCAAGTGTAGAGAAAAATGATGACGTGTACTTACAAGCTACTCAACAATTAGAGGCACGTGAGACTAAGGAATATGATGTTTTTTCGCAGCCAACCCAATGTTTGAATGATAATAGGCACAAACCCGGTAGTCAGTCAAGAGAAAATGAGGAAGATGAAGATATTTATATGGCAGCCACTCAGCAGATGGAGAGCAGATTAATAAGAAAATCAAGTAAGTGAAGCGGAAAAAGTAAAAAATCTATATACAGTGCATTCCATTTGAAACGAACCACCCTGAATAACTTTTGGTACAATGATTTGCAGGAAAAATAAAAAAACACGTCAACCATAGTATTTAGGGGGACACATTTTGACATATTCACATTTGATCTGATTTTCCCTATCACACCCCCAGAGCATGTAACCATTTTTTTTAAGTTATCAGTTGTTTTGCATTATCAGATGTTCCATGATGAACAGATTTCAACAAAGTAGAATACATTATGATCTGAAGCTCATAGTTTGGAAGCTAAAAATTATTTTAGTTGAAAACGATCCACCCTCAATGAACTTCTGTACAATCTGTTACCTAGGTTTCATAGGTGTTTTTGTGAAGTATACTTCAAAAAAGTCTAATTTTGCCTAGTTAAGTTTGAAATCGATATTCCCTTCATTTTGTATTTGTCTCATTCTACAATAACGATTACCTACCGCGTGAATTTACAATTGGTGTTTCTGTTTTTGTGAATTCTTGATAAGCAATGGTTTATACACTTCGAGAACGGATTGAAATAGTGAGTATGTACCAGAATGGAAATAGTGCTAGAGCTGCTGCCTCTATGTTCAATGATAATCATCCAGGAAGAAATGTAAGACATGAATTCGTTTCAAAATTATTGAACAAATTTATGGAAACTGGATCAGTTAACAATAAAAAGCATAACCATCCAGGAATTGTCAATGATGAAGCTATTTGTACTGCAGTTTTAGGACAAGTTGGACTAATGGAAAATTCACAATCTCTTCACCAAGTTAGCAGGAATCAGTTGTACAAATGTTTTCAAGATCTTTCATAAGTACAAATTTCATCCATATAAGATTAGACTAGTTCATCAATTGAACAAAGATGATTTTGATAGACGTATCGAGTTTTGTTAAAGTCTCACTGAACGGATCAACTTGCATCAGAACTTTTTGTATGGCCTTCTGGAAGGCCAAATTATTTCGTCCTCTAACGTTTGCTCGGCCTGTTCCTCAATTTCGATTGTTGGTGCTGATGCGAGTACTGTCGCGTATGAATACGATTCGAACACAGCGCGATCATAGTGTGATCCATCACTAGACAGCGCTGTTTCAACCCTCCATAGGTCTTATTAGTGGTGCTAGGCTGAACCACAAATTTATTGCTGGACTCAACTGTTCTTAAAAAACTAGCCTGAGTACACAAGGGCGATGACATCTCCCATTACGAAGACGCCATCAATGGAATCAACAGAGAACTCAATCCTCTAATATCAAAGATAAACGAGGCTCTCCAAGGCGGTCAGTTGCAAAGCAAAACTTCGACATCGACCGCCGACGAGATTCGTCCTCTGCAACACAAACCTCCATCTCTGCAATGTATGAATAATTTGTAATCTTTGATTTATAAATATTCATCATTCATACATGAATTGAGCCATGTTTCATAAATAAGAAAAATATTAAAACCTTCACACAGATTTATTTTTATTTCTTTTAATGAAGGCAGCAAAGATCCTACATTCAAGAAACCTATATTTGAAGTAATCAAATATAAAAAAGCACAAACAGCAATTCAATAGACGTGACACAACTTCTCTAGTGCGACACATTTCAGTCTATTGAGGTTTTATACAAGACGAAATAGGTTGATATTTGAACTAATTCAGTTAAATGAAGTTTAATATATCAATACATAATTAGTAAGAAGAAAAAAAACAACATTTAAATAATTGCATATCCAAAAGAAAAAAAAAAAGAAAATCAAAAGATAATTTGTAACTATTTTCCATGTGACTACAAATAAAAGAGAAAAAATAAATAAAAAATGGGTACTTCCTAGTATCTATCAAGTGATGACTCATAATATCTGTAGGTCCTTGGCACATTTCATATGCGAAATAGTAGCTTCATCATCATTGTATTTGTTGATGAAAACTTTCTGCAGTTTCACATTTTCTCCAGTTTCACCTGGTCTTCAGTCTTCAATACTTTTCATTCTTTGTGGGCGAGTGTTACTAATTTTTTTTTTAATGTGAGCTTAGTAGCTTTTCTCATTTTGATATATAAAAAATGAAATGAAATATTTGACAAGTGATATCTTTCTTTAAAAAATACGTGACTAAATTGAATAAAAAGTTTATGGCGGTTTTTAATGAATGAATAGTATTCAAGATCAAGTCATGTTGAATTGATTGAAACATGGAACAGAAGAAAACTAGAAAATATATTGCGTTTAGACAGTGATAATGATTTTTCAAGTCACCATGTATATAAAGGTATTACTTTTTTCAGATATAAAATCAATGACTCCTTTATTGAAGGACCAGGAAGATGTATATATGCAGGACACTCAAAAAATCCAAGAAGAAACTGCCCAAGACATTATCAAAAACTCAAATTCAATTCCATGCGTTGCAACTGACTCAATGAGTACTTCCACCTGTGTGTACAATTCAGAGACCCAGGCCAATGAAACCCAGTCAGAAATACCATTTGCTGATGACAATGTGCAAGTGGTGGTGACTCAGTGTTCTAGTCGTCCACAAAATCCATTGTTACATATTTTAAATGATGAAGCGATGTCTGAAGAAGTGAAAAAGTCGAGTGGTTCTTCTACGAAACGTTCTCGAGTTATCCAAGAAAGTATCCCAGAATCGCCCATCAAAAAAGTTAAATCAATCCATGTGGAAAGCTTGCTGGAAAAAATAACTTCAGATTCACGAAAGAATGATGTTGAGACTTTGAGTCAGATCGAAAATTTTGTTAAACAACCACTTGAGATTGTACCAAAATTACCAAAAAGAAAAGAATTGATAGCTGTGGAGGAAACGGCAGTCCAAAAAGATAATTTAGAAACTTTGAGTCACATTGAAGCATTTGTACAGAAACCTCTTGAAGAACTAAAGTACAGAAAATCTATAAGAACAGAAAAAAAAAGTGTAGCTGAGGAAAGATCTGAAATCTCAGAGACCTTGAGTCAAATTGATGCATTTGTGAAAAAACCTTTTGAGAGTGTTCAAGAAGAAAAAAAACAAGAACCGTCTAGACATGAAATAAGAAAGAGTACTCGCCGAAAAAGTCAGACAGAAAGTTCAACATCCTCTGTAAACGAGAAAGAGGAGATAAAAGATGAGAACAGGCTTTCAAGAAGAATGTCCAAAAGAAGGCACTCAAATAACAAATGTGAAACTAAGGCAACCGCTGAAAACGATAAACTAGACGTGATAAAAGAATACAATGAAGCCGATGACTTTGAAGATACCTGTGAACGGTTATCAAGAACTAAAAGTAGAACTAAAGGTAAAGAAAGATTACAGTTAGGAGTTAATGACAATGAGAATCTGGAAAAGAATCATAGTTCAGAAGATAGCAGATCTCATGAGGTCAAAAGTGACGTCGATCAAAGTTTTGCTTTGTTGGAATCTAAATGCTCTAAAGTGAAAAGACAACCAAGAAAAGATCCTGTTTTAAATGAAATAAAAGTTTCTATCACCTCTCATAGAAGGAGCATGAGCACAGCAGAATCTTCAAAGAAATCAACTGTAGAACTTTTTCCCCTTAAAAAATCTAGAAGAACCACAGTGAACAACAATACTGTACCAAATACATCTGGTATGACAAAGCGAAAAGCTGAAACTATTACTAAATCCAGAAAAGAAAATGATGTCGATTCTGATTCAGATTCTGAGATTTTATCGAAAAAATCAAGAAAAAGTTCTAAAATTAACAAACGAACTATAGATCAAAACACTACAAATAATGAAGCAAGTTTAATTAACCAAAAACCCTCATCATCAAAACAAATTAGTAGAAGTGATAAAAATATTAAAATTTTATCCACAAGTGAGGAAAGTGATGTAAATAAGATTTATAATGATAGCAAAAAACACCATACTGTCACAAGTGATGAAAATGATACCATAAACAGTTCTGCAACACCTCTAAAATCAAAAAGAGGAGGCAAGTCCATTTCAAACGAGACCTTGGAAACACCTAGGAGGGGTCAGAGGAGTGTGGCAAATGAAACTCTTTTGAGTTCTGCAGAGGTTAGTGAAAATTTCTAATTTGTTATAGTCATTATACAAAAAAAGCTTGTTTATCCATAGAAGCTTTTATTCATCTTGGAACGTGATTTCAATGAGAGTGGTCCATATATGAAACATCTTTGTTTATAATGAAAAGAAAAAATGTGTTGTCTTCATCGCTATATTGCTTGCAAAATAATACATACAAGGGGTACCTAATATGTTATGAAAATTTTCTGAGGTAGTTACACACATTCACACTAAACCCCCTTATTCAGGCAGAAATATAAATTATCTGTCCCGTCATCCACATGAAATGAAAATTATTTTGGTTTTATGAAAAATCGAATAGAAAACATTTCTCACCCTACATTAGGTGACCAATTTGAAGCATTTTTTCAATATTCTATTGATTAACTCTCATCCTCCAAACTTTTTTGATAAATTGTTATATAATAACTCGTCTAATATCATTAACATCAGAGAAAACAATCAGGCTAAAAATCTAAATTTCAAATACTCATCCGTTCCATATATTTCTGAACTTTCCAGCAAAATCATTAAAGTATTCGAACAAGAACAGAATACCAGATTTCATATAAGGAAGTTGAATGCCTGCAACAAACAAACAAAAAACAATTTAAAAGCTCGCATAGCTCTTCATAAAAGTAATTGTAAAAATTTGAAACAAAATTCTTGTGCTCTAACATTCTCCATTTTGAACCAGATTCAAATAAAAGGCAATTTTTATAGATGGCTGAAATGAAAATTAAAGAAAACAATATCAACAAAATAGACAGACATCGATAATCTGACACCAAAAAACCTGAATACATCCATTAATAATAAAAACAAGATCTTCAAATGATGTGCAGCTGAAAAAGCAAATACGCCACTGGAATCAATCAAGTCGCCCCGGAGCGCCAATTAACTTTCGTTGTTTCATAATTTGTAATAAAATACATGTTTGTCGTTGCAAAAAAAGCAATATAGGTCACCATAATAAACAAAATGAAAAAAAAATCACACTGTCTATTGACATAAAATTGACATCCTTACTTTGAATTGATTCAAAATTATCAACTCAAGGCTCAGTTTGAGTATGCCTTGAAGATGACAGCACAGCCAGATATCGAAAGCGCTCGCATATAATAAATAGAAGTTATAAAGCTTCAAATCCTTTTTGTGACATATGTCACACCCATGTGTGTATGACAATTGTCAAACCCACAAAAAATCGTATACATGTTAACTTTTACGTCAATTTATATCTTCAATTTATTGTTTTTCACTCATTTTTACTGCCCTGAAGAAGCTTCCCGTTAGAAGCGAAAGCTTGGCAAAGTAAAGCAGAGTTTGATTTTTGATTTTTTGACTGAGAGACCCTGTTAATCCATTTTACCATATTCTTTGTACTAGATGACCTTCTGACTGAAATTTTAAATAAACTAGAATATAATATTCACCTCCTTAAACGATATGTTGATGACATATTCTTAGCACTCCCTTCAGATCTAATTGAAAACACCCTTGACTTCTTCAACTCTTTCAATCCACATCTTCAATTTACTTATGAAAAAGAAGTTAATGATTCTTTACCTTTCCTTGACATGAAAGTCATCAGGTTTGAAGGAAACGTTCTTAAGACTACGTGGCACAGAAAATCTATATATAACAATAGTTTCATTAGTTATTTTTCACAGCATCCTTCAAGGATGAAAACCAACTTAATTTTATCTCTTAAAGAAAGAGTCACTAGATTGTCCCATCCGGATTTTGTTAAAAATGATTTAAAATTTTT